GGGGCTCCTGGGGCGCAGCAGGTCCGCGCCCGGTGGAAAGGGGGTGGGGACACCTGATGGGGAAGGAAAGGGGGTGCAGGTCCTGGCTGGGGCCCCTCAGGGCGGGTGTCGTGGCTGACGGTGTGGAGCGCGTGAATCACCGGGCGCCGTGAGCTCGGACACGGGGGAGGGGGCAGGTGTCTGTGAGGCGGGGCATGGAGGCAGCGGGGCTGGGGGTGGGACAGGGCCGGGTGGGCGGAGTATAGAGTGCTAGGAACTACATTTCCCAGAAGGCCACGCGAACCGGTCCATTGGCATCCTGATAGGGCCTTTCCTGGCGTGCGTCCTGGGGGTGGGACTTCCGGTCTGGGTGGAATAGAGTGCTAGGAACTACATTTCCCAGAAGGCCACGCGAACCGGTCCATTGGCATCCTGATAGGGCCTTTCCTGGCGTGCGTCCTGGGGGTGGGACTTCCGGTCTGCTCTGGACCTGCCAGTTGCTGGCCTCCCGAAAGCCCGCGCGATTGGAGAGACGATGCGGTGGGCGTGGCTAGAACGCCCCGCCCAGTGGAGTGGGTGTGAGGCTCTCCATGGATTGCTTGCATTAGGGAGACAGGGAGGCAGTGGGTGCAGAACGGGGTGCCCTCGAGGAGGCACTTTGGGCTGGTGGCGCCGAGGCCTGGGTGCGGGGACCCGGTGCAGCAGCGCCCCCTCTGGCTGCCTCCACAGGGAGCTGCTTTGCAGGCGGGAGGGGGGCCCCTCGGCCTGGCCGGCAGCTGGGGGGGTGGGGGGGGCATCTGCGTGTCCCCGCTGCCCTGTCTGAGGGCTAAGCACAGTCACTGTGGCTCAGGGGCTGGGCTCTGACCTATGAACCAGGAGGTGAAGGTTCAATCCCCGATCAGTGCATGTGCCCTGGTTGCAGGCTCCAACCCCAGTCGGGCAGGTGCAGGAGGCGGCCGAGCAATGATTCTCTCTCACCGTGGATGTTTCTATTGGACTCCCTCTCCCTTCCTCTCTGATATCAATATAATATATTTTAAAAATAAAAGATAATCACAGTCACTATGGAACCCTAATAAATGAGCAGACGTCAGGGTCCCCAGGGCCTGGTGTCTCCTGGGAAGGGAGGCCTCCCTGGAGGAGAAGGAGCGGGGAAAGTGTGTGAGGGGTGGACTGTGAGGGTCTCAGAAAGCCTAACTCTATGGTTTCCTCTGTCCCCATCTCGACAGGACCCCGTGACCTTTGACGACGTGGTTGTGTACTTCTCCCTGGAGGAGTGGGGGCTCCTGGACGAGGCTCAGAGACGCCTGTACCACGAGGTGATGCTGGACAACTTGGCACTTGTATCCTCTCTGGGTAAGACTCTCACCGTCTCATCACTCAGCTTCAATTCCCGCTAGTTTTTACAACCAGAGTTTCGCTAGGTTCCTGGTGTGGGGCCGAGCCCCCTTGCTCCTCAGGTACCTTCACAGCCTAGATATGCCGACCAGTTTCTATCTGCCACATGTAAAAAAATAAAAGTTTCTGGCCATTGGGGCAAAAATATGAAAATGTAAACATTTTTCATTTTTTAAAATTTTCCAGAGTGTTCAGTTGGTTGACCATCCTCCCAGGCACTGAAAGGCTCCCAGTTCAATTCTGGGTCAGGGCACATGCCCAGGTTGTGGGCTGGATGCCAGGTTGGGGAACTTGAGGGAGGCAGCCGATCAATGTTTTTCTCTGATATTGATGTTGCTCTCTCTCTCTTTCTCCCATCCTCTCTCTCTCTCTCTCAAATCAATAAAGCATGTCCTATATAATAAAAGCCTAATATGCTAAGTGTCTGGTAGTCCGTTCAACCAATTAAATCGTCATATGCTAATGATATGCTAAGGCCACTCAACCGCTTGCTATGACATGCACTGACCACCATGGGGCAGATGCTCCTACTCGAAAGTTAGCCTGCTGCTGGGGTCTGGCCGATTGGGACTTAGTGAGACCGAGTCAGGCTGGACACACCCTGGAGCCCTCCCTGGCTGGCCAACCTTCGACATCCCTCCCTGGCCCCAATTGTGCACCTGTGGGGTCCCTCGGCCTGGCCTGCACATGCTCGAAATCAGGGACCTCTTAGGGGATGTAGGAGAGCCGGTTTTGGCCTGAGCCCGCAGGCCAGGCCTAAGGACCCCACTGGTGCATGAATTTGTGCACTGGGCCTCTAGTTTAAAAAATAAGTGAGCAAAGGACTTGTATGCATGCATATAAGCCAAACCAATGGACACGGACAACAGGAGGATGAGAGCATGAGTGTGGGGGGGGAGGTTGGGGGTTATGGGGAGATGAGGACACATTTGTCATACCTTAACCAATAAAGAAATTAAAAAGATAATAATAATAAAAAAATAAGTGAATAAAATAAAGTTTATGTCTCTAAACTTGATGTGTTCGTGTACTTTTCCTGATTTCCCCGAGTGGTGTCTCTGTGCTCTCTTGGAGCTTGGTGAGCATCGGTGAAGCAATTACGTGGAATTCTTTGCCCAGCACTTTGTTGGTTTCACTTGCTGGAAACTTATTGTGCTTCTTTGGTGATGACATGTTTCCTTGATATTTTGGGGTTCCTTCCAACATTTTCTTGATGTCTCCACATTTGATGGATCAGGTACCTTTTCCTGCTTTTATACACTCCTTTTGATGTGCAGAAGTTTTCATCTTGAGTTGGTTGTCAGGTCATTAACCTTCAAAGGTGTGGCAGTTGTGGCTCTGGGAAGGAACCAGACCTGTAAGGAATGACTAACGTTGTAGGGATTCTCCATAGCCAAGGCTGCCAGGTGAACTCACAGGTATCCGGTCATGTTGAGGCTGGGTAGGGTGAGCGAGCAACCTGTGTTCTTACCATACCAGGAACGTTTTCCATGTAACCCGTGTTTTTTTGTTATTGCCAGTGCCAAAGCTTACTTCTACTTCACCTTCCTCACTGTTGCTACTTGGCTGAGTAGTCTATTCTATTTTGTTGTTGCTCCGACTTGTAGTCCATGGAGAATCTCTGGTCTTTGTAGCTCACATATTTCTCTCACCTCTTCTTCTATTGCTTTGCAACATTGGTCCACATGTGCCATGAGATCAGTATCCGTTTTGAAATTGGCCTTCATGGCAGCTACTCTCTTGCAGTTGTTTTTTTTTCCATTTGCACCTGTGTTTCTAACACAGCCTTTTGTCACTAGAAGGAAAGGTCCTATGGAAATCCTTTGCATCAGAAGTAGTTTTATTTTTATTTTTTGAAGGTTATCTTTTTTTAAAAAAATAATTCCTTATTGTTGAAAGTATTACATATGTTCTCTTATTTCTGCCTTTGAACCCCTCCAGCCCGCTCCTGTCCCCTGCCCCAGGCCCTCACCACCCCATTGTCTGAGTCCTGGGGACATGCATATATGTATACAAGATCCTTGATTGATTATCTCGCACCCACCCACCTAACAGAAGTTGTTTTAGAACATACCTCTTTTTTAAAGAAAAAAATATATAGAAAATAGTTTTAATTCAGTCGAACACAGAAAACAGTGTAAAAAATTAAGCAGAAAGCATCAAAAGTCCAAATCCAGGGAGACTTAAAAAAAAATTTTTTTTTATGGAGAATACTAATCATTAATCTGAAAGGGATTTTTTTTTTTTAAATCTTCACCCGAAGGGATTTCCCCACTGATTTTTAGACAGAGTGGAAGAGAGAGAAAGACACAGAGAGAAACATCATGTGAGAGAAACACATCGATTGGTTGCCTCCTAATGGGTCAACCAGGGGCCAGGCTGGGGAGAAGCCTGCAACCGAGGTACTTGCCTTTGATGGGAATCCAACCTGGTACCCGTTGGTCCACAGGCTGATGCTCTATCCACTGATCCGCACCGGCTGGGCAGGGATTTTCTTTTTTAAAAAAAACACATGTTTTTATTTCAGAGAGAGAGGGAGAGGGAGAGAGAAACATCAATGATCTGAGAGAAAAAAACTTGATGAGCAAATCATTGATTGGCTGCCTCCTGCACACCTCCCATTGAGAATCAAGCTCAAGCTAGACTTGAACTGTGACCTCCTGGTTAATAGGAGGACACTCAACCTTTGAGCCATGCCGGCTCAGCCATGGGGACTTTGAAACAAATTTCAAGAGGAAAAAAAAAAGCTACTTGTTAATATTCCTACCTGAGGTAGTCAATCTGATAATCATAAATCTCCAAATCTGGAGATCTCTGAACTTGACAAGAGACTTTCCTCCCTACTCACAAATCCCTTCTCAGCATCGCTGAGGAATGGGTGTCTGGCCTATCCGTCACAATTTCAGTGTTTGACCTCCTTCCACTGCCTTGAATTAATCCAGCTATTTTATTTTTATTTTTTAATATATTTTTATTGATTTCAGAGAAGAAAGTGGAGGGAGATAGAGGTAGAAACATCAATGATGAGAGAATTATTGATCTGCTGCCTCCTGCACCCCCCGCCCTACTGGGAATCGAGCCCACAACCCATGACTGGAATCAAACCCAGGAGACTCTTCAGTCTATAAGCCAATGCTCTATCCACTGAGCCAAACCTGACTAGGGCAATCCAGGGATTTTCAACCTTTCCCATCACATGGCACACGTAAACTAATTACAGAAATTCTGAGGCACAGCAAAAAATTTATGTTTTGTCCATCTGACCAAAAATTAGCTATAATACATGGGAATGTCTTCTTTTGTGTTACACCCTATTCTTATATCCTTTCTCTGGTGAGTCCTCTCCTATTCTTTTGCCTTAGAAGATGCCCAGTAGCAACTTCCCCCACCAGGTTTTAACTCCTTTCATCAAAAAGCAAGCCATAGCCCTAACCGGTTTGGCTCAGTGCATAGACCATCGGCCTGCAGACTGAAGGGTCCCGGGTTTGATTCCAGTCCAGGGCATGTACCTTGGTTGCAGGCACATCCCCAGGGGGGGTGTGCAGGAGGCAGCTGATCGATGTTTCTCTCTCATTAATGTTTCCGACTATCTATTCCTCTCTCTTCCTCTCTGTAAAAAAACCAATAAAATATATTTTTAAAAATAAAAAGCAAGTCATACACTCAGTTCTCGATGTGACGAATGCACATTTGTAATGGTGTTGCTCCATCCTCAAAGTCAGCCTGTACTTTACCAACGTTTATTTCTGTTCAGGTGGCTGCTGTGGAGCAGAGGATGCACAAGCAAACTGTGAACAGAGTGTTTCTGGAGGAGGGTCACCGTCCAGCCCCTCCAAGGCAGCTCTGTCTTTGCTGAAGACCCACTTCTGTGAGAGCTGTGGTCCCATCTTGAGAGTCATATTCCATTTGGCTGAGCACCAAGGAACACCACACAGCCAGAACGTGGTCAGGTGTGGGGAATGTAGGAAGGAATTCTATTTGGGTGCAAACCTCCAAACACACGGGAAAGAGAGAAAAGCTTCTTTCACCTGCGGAGAATGTAAGAAAGGCTTCAGTCTGAGAGACACACATGCTCAGGACCAAGATGTTCGCACTGCAAAACAGTGTTTTATGTGCAGTGCATGTGGGAAAACATTCCGGGATCAGTCTTCATTCGCTGTTCACCAGAGAGTGCATATAGGTAAAAGCCTTCACGTGTGTGGCCAGTGTGGCCAGTCTTTTAGGCGAACCTCAACCCTCAGTCAGCATCGCAGATTTCATTGTGGGCCAAGGCAGTACAAGTGCGGCAAATGTGGGAAGTCCTTTCACCCAAAATCTGTCCTCATTTATCCCTGGAGAAGTCACGCTGGGGAAAAATGTGACTTGTGCCGTGAATGTGCGCCATCTTTTAGCCGGAGATGCATCCTCATTCGACAACGGACCGTTCACTCTGGGGAAAGGCGTTACGAGTGCACGCAATGTGGGGAGTCCTTTAGAAGAAAATTTTACCTCATTCTGCATTGGAGAGTTCACACTGGAGAAAGGCCCCATGAATGCCGTGAGTGTGGGAGATCTTTCACCAGGAGATCAGTCCTTACTCTACACCGGAGAGTGCACACAGGAGAAAGGCCTTTTCGGTGCAGTAAATGCAGGAGAACCTTTCCCGGTAGTTCCATACTCATTCTGCACCAGAGAGTGCACACAGGAAAAAGGCCTTATGAGTGCAGTGAATGTTGGAAATCCTTTAGCCAACAATCTTACCTCAGTCGACACCAGATAGTTCACAGTGGAAGGCAGTCTTATGAATGTAGTGAATGTGGGAAAGCTTTTCTCTCTCACCGTGGCCTTAGTTACCATCTGAGAGTTCACTCTGGAAAAAGGCCTTATCAGTGCAGTGATTGTGACAAATCTTTCACCTCACAATCGGGCCTGCGTTACCATCTGAGAGTTCACACTGGAAAAAGACCATATCAGTGCCGTGAATGTGGGAAATCTTTCTTATATGGTTCCTACCTCAGTATTCATCAGAGAGTGCACACAGGAGAAAGACCTTATCAGTGCAGTGAATGTGGTAAATCCTTTCTCCGAAGACATCACTTTCTTACACACCAGAGAATTCACACAGGAGAAAGGCCTTATCAGTGCAGCGAATGTGGGAAATCTTTTACATCTGGTAACAACCTAAGTAATCATCAGAGAGTACACACAAAAGAAAGACCTTATCAGTGCAGTGAATGTGGTAAATCCTTTCTCCGAAGACATCACTTTCTTGCACACCAGAGAATTCACACAAAGGAAAGACCGCATCAGTGCAGTGAATGTGGGAAATCTTTTATCCTAAGACAGCACCTCCTTGTACACCAGAGAGTTCATGCAGGTCAAAGGCCTTATCAGTGCAGTGAATGTGGGAAATCTTATTGTTCAAAGTTCAACCTCATTCAACATCAGAGAGTTCACACAGGAGAAAGGCCCTATGAGTGTAGCGAATGTGGGAAACGTTTCACCTCAAGCTCTGTCTTCAATTATCATAAGAAAGTTCACTCTGGAGAAAGGCCTTATCAGTGCAGCGACTGTGGGAAATCTTTTTTCTCAAGTTCCAACCTCAATACTCATAAGAGAGCACACACAGGAGAAAGACCCTATGAGTGTAGCGACTGCGGGAGATCCTTTTTCCGAAGTTCCCACCTTCGTACACACCAGAGAGTTCACACAGGAGAGAGGCATCAGTGCGATGAATGTGGGAAATCTTTTGCATCCGCTTTCAATCTCAGAAATCATCAGAGGGATCACACAGGAGAAAAGCCCTATGCGTGCACTGTATGTGCGATCTCTTTCACCACTCAGAGGAAGCTTCGTTATCATCTGGGAGTTCACACCGGAGAAGGGCCCTATGAGTGCCGTGAATGTGGGAAATCTTTTACCTCTCATTATGCCCTCCATGACCACGAGAGACTTCATACAGACAAAAAACCTTATGAATGCACAAAATGTGGGAAATCGTTCAGAGCAAATTCTCACCTCATTGAACACTGGAGAGTTCACACTGGAGAAAAACCTCATCAATGTGGAGAATGTGGGAAGTCTTTTTCATCGGGCTCTGGCCTCCGTTATCATCAGAGTGTTCACACCAGGTTAAGACCTCATGAGTGTAGTGAATGTGGGAAGTCTTTTATGCAGAGACATCATCTTCTTGCACACCGCCGGGTTCACGCAAAATAAGGGCCTTACGATTGCAGTGAATGTTGCAAAAACTTTAAGGATAGTTCCCAGTCCAATTAACACTAGAGCATTCACACTGGAGGTAGGCGTTTCAAATAGGGGGGAACATTTTTCAGCCGTAATTTTTACCTTTTTATTTTATTTTATTTTTTAATCCTCACTGGAGGATATTTTTCCATTGATTTTTAGAGAGAGTGGAAGAGAGAAGCAAAGAGAGAAAATCAATGTGAGAGAAACACATCAGTTGGTTGCCTACTACATGAGCCCTAACCAGGCCAGGCCAGGGAGGAGCCTGCAACCGAGATACATGACCTGGACCTGAATGGAACCCAGGACCCTTTGGTTCACAGGCCAACGCTCTACCCACCGAGCCAAACTGGTAGGGCGAAAATAAGAGTTGTGTGTATGCCTGTAGCAATGATCACCCCAAGGCCATTGTAAGTTAAAAGAAAATTGTCTAGGGATGTGGCTCTTGTGATCCAGCCAGCACTCCTGAGTGAAGTAAAAATATCCCTTATAACTAGCCAATATTTTTTGCCACTGAGGCAACACCCTCAGATGGCAATAGGAGAAATACGGTGGTGTCCATATTAGATTACCAAACCTATATCTTTTTAAAATATATAAATATATTTTTTGTATTCATTTCAGAGAGGAAGGGAAAGGAAGATAGAAACATCAATGATGAGAGAGTATCATCAATTAGTTGCCTCCTGCACACCCCACACGGGATGAGCCCACAACTCAGTCATGTGCCCTGACTGGGAATCAAACCATTATCTCCTGATTCATAGGTCTACACTCAACCACTGAGCAACACCAGCAGGGCATTAAACCTATTAATACAAAAGTTTTTAAATACTTCAATAAGGTGTAACTTACATGTAATAAACTGTACATATGTAAATTGTATTTGATAAATCTTGACATTCATGTGAAACCGAAAACACCACTGCAATTATGGTAATGATTTAATTTTCAGTGTATTTTTGGCTTATGTCCTTTTATAATCTCTCCCTGCTCTTCACAGCCCTCCAAATAATTTGGTTTACTTTCCTTTAGTATAGATACCTTTGTATTTTCTATAATTTATATGATGGCAATCATTGAATGTTTACTTTTTTCTGGTTTCATTTATGTTGTATTATTACTTAGAGATTCATCTATGATATAATTGCCTCAACTTCCCCCACTCCCCCTTCTTTGGATGTGCCACAATGGGTTTATCCATTCATCTCTTTATGGACATTTGGATCATTTCCATTAAAAAAAAATGTTATTGATTTTAGAGAGAGGGTAAAAAAACCCATCAGTGTGAGAGTGATACATCAGTTGGCTGCCTCCTGTAAGTCCCCTACTTGGAATCTAATGCACAATATTTTGTTGCACAGGAGGTTGCCAAACCAACTGAGCCACACTGGCCATGGCATATTCTACTTCTTTATGCATTCACTGGTTTATTCTTGTATGTGCCCTTACTAGGGATTGAACCCTCAACCTTGGTGTGTTGTGATGGTGCTCCAACCAACTGAGCTCCCCAGCCTGGCCTCTTACTTATTTTCAAAAATTTTGTGCTGTGCACAATGTAATGGAAACATACACCATACACTTTGGTTTTTGTTGTTGTTAATCCTCGCCCGAGGATATTTTTTCCATTGAATTTTAGAGAGAATGGAAGGAATTAGGGAGGGGGGTGTGTGTGAGTAAGAAACATCAGTGTGATAGGGACACATTGATTGGTTGCCTCCCGCAAGCACCCCAAACCAGGGCTGGGGATCGAACCTGCAACCCAGGTACATGCCCTTGACCAGGAATTGAACCCGTGACATTTTGGTTGGAGAGTGGAGCGTGAGAGAGATTTTCTGGGAGCCATGCACACTGGTCAGCAATGGTGCCCTCAGCACAAATGCGAGAAAGTGGACTTTACTCCAGCTCTGATCCAGCTGTGGAATGACAGAAATGACTTTGGGGAAGGAGGGAGGACAGAGACACGCTCAGGATACCGGGAGGGATGTGAGGGTCTTAGTCGTGGATGCAGTAAATGCAAAGTTCTCCCACATCCCATCATGGTACGTGAACCTCAGCCTCACCCAGGAGACCCCACTCCAGGGAGAAGTTAATGGCTATGGTCTCCAATGTCATACTCCATCATTATAGAGGTGGTTTATTCTACTATAGTAGCTTCTCTCCTAACACCAGAATGATGACCCTTCCTCCCCCAAACATACCCACATCCATTCTCTGGTAACCCTATTCCCAGTCACCCCACCTCAAAGAAGACCAGAGTTCCTGGTGCTCGCTCTCAACCCACGGCCACAATGATCAGTGCAGTGAATGTGGTAAATCTTATTGTTCAAAGTTCAACCTCGTTCAACATCAGAGAGTTCACACAGGAGAAAGGCCCTATGAGTGTAGTGAATGTGGGAAACGTTTCACCTCAAGCTCTGTCTTTAATTATCATAAGAAAGTTCACTCTGTAGAAAGGCCTTATCAGTGCAGCGACTGTGGGAAATCTTTTTCAGGTCCGGATGCACAAAAGAACAAACCAGGCATCCGTACCTGATGCAAGGCCCAGTATTCTTTTTAAAAAATATATATTTTTTATTGATTTTAGAGAGGAAGGGAGAGAAAACATCAATGATGAGAGAGAATCATTAATTGGCTGCCTCCTGCCTGCCCAGAACTGGGGATTGAGCCCAGAACCTGTGCATGTGCCCTTGACCGGAATCGAACCTGGGACCCTTCAGTCTGCAGGCCGACGCTCTATCCACTGAGGCAAACCGGCTATTGTGGGGCTTGATATTCTGTTACTAGGAAGACCAATATAAATAAACAACAGGCTTCCCTGTCATTTTGCTTTAATAACGCCTATGCCTCCAGGACCATTTCATGTTCCCTCCTTCCTCAGAAGCCTTGGCAGCCAGCTGGGTTATCCTAGATGCCCAGCTGCACCCCAGTGCCCAAGCTAGATCTGCACTCGGGCATCCAACATCCGCTTCCTGATTCACTGTTAGCATTACCATCATGTTTAGGATTCCGGTTACTGTTACTAAGAGTTCCCCCTCTCTACACACTGCCCACCACCTTTTGTAAACTGTCCATCTGACAGAGTTCCAGAATTGTGTGTCCAGCTGCCCACTGAGGAATTGCACTCCTTTGTTCTCTGGAATATCTTACACACTGAATATGTCTAGAAGAAAAACTGCTGCCCTAACCGGCTTGGCTCAGTGGATAGAGTGTCAGCCTGCAGACTGAAGGGTCCCAGGTTCAATTCTGGTTCAAGGGCATATACCTTGGTTGCAGGCACATCCCCAGTGGAGGGTGTGCAGGAGGCAGCTGATCGATGTTTCTCTCTCATCCAATGTTTCTAACTGTCTATCTCTCTCTCTGAAATCAATAAAAATATATTTAAAAAAATAAAATTGAGCTAATCTTCCATTTCACCAGCAACAAATGAAAACACACAGACACACACATGAAAATATCCACAGCACAATTTCCTTGAGATGTTAACAGTGTCCGACGCTCTATCCACTGAGCCAAACCGGTTTTGGCTAAAATGTGCTTTTTCTAATCAGAACCATCATGGTTAACAGACATGAAAAATATTTCCTATAACCATAGCTCATCGACACTATTCCATTTCTGCCCCTAGCAGTTTGACTGTATTCTGTAACAAGTAATTTTTACTTCTTAATCCCTTCATCTTCATCAACCATTTTCTCAACGAGCTTGACCTCTGGCAACCGTCAAAATGACCTCTGCATCTATAAGTATGTTTCAGATATACTCAGTCAAATATTTCGATTTTTATATTCAATTGTTGATACACATGTAGGACCTTCTTTTTTTGTTAATATGTTTCTATTGATTTCAAAGAGGAAGGAAAAGAGAGATAGAGAAACATCACTAATGAGAGAGAATCATTGGTCAGCTGTTCTTTGCAAACCCCCAGCCACATTACCCACGTTGCCTGTCATCTGTAACCATTATACCCAATCCATGTTTCTTTCTCACGTGTCTCTCTCTCGCTCCCTCTCCCTATCTCTCTCTAAAATAAAAACATATCCTCAGGTAAGTATTAAAGTAATAAGAACTATCCTATCTAATAAAAGCTTAATATGCTAATTGGCTGACCATTTTGACCGTTTGACCAGTCACTATGACACACACTGACCACCAGGGGGCAGACGCTCCAACTGGTAGTTTATCTTTCTGCTGGGGTCTGGCTGATGAGGACTGGGCGAGATGGACCAGACACGCCCTGGAGGCCTCCCCTGGTCCCTCTCCAGCCGGCCAACCTTCCATGGTCCCTCCCCAGCCAGCCAGCCCCAATCAGCCCAGATCAGGACTGGGCGAGAAGGGCTAGACACGCCCTGGAGCCAACCTCCCACAGTCCCTCCCTGGCCTCTAAAATATTTCTTCTAGTCCTAACCCTTTTGGCTCAGTGGATAGAGCATCGGCCTGCGGACTGAAGGGTCCCAGGTTCGATTCCGGTCAAGGGCATGTACCTTGGTTGCAGGTGCATCCCCAGTGGGGAATGTGCAGGAGACAGCTGATCCATGTTTATCTCTGATCGATGTTTCTAACTCTCTATCCCTCTCCCTTCCTCTCTGTAAAAACTCAATAAAATATATATAT